GTGTGTGTGTGTGAGTGAGATTAAAATAGCACAATTGCTTTTACAATAAATAAACAGAGAGAATAAATAAGACAGCCAAATATTTTAAGAAATTGTTATTCTTTTTTCCCGCATATTTAGCATATTTCACCGCATAAAATCACATAAAAACCCCTCATGTTTAATCGCATAATCAAGGATTTTAGCCTGCATAATCAAGGAATTTAGCCCACATAATCAAGGATTTTTGCCCGCGTTTTTCTGGAGGGTCTAGCTAATGTTCCACACACAGTCAAAGCTGCTCCAATTTGTGAGTGTAACTGTGTGTCAAAAATAGAGCAGAAAATACTCTAAAGTTGCAATAAACACATCAAACCTCTACGCTTAAAGGGCCCATGTCATGCTTTTCCGGTTATTACCCGTCCCCTTGTGTGTTATGTAGCTTTTTCTGCATGTAAACGGTCTGCAGTGTCACAAACCCTTAAAGTACACTCTGTAGCGAGTAAAACTCTAACACAGAAAATACCTATATGATGCCCCAGAACGCCTCGTTGGAGATTTCTCTTTTTCTTGCTGGGTACAGTGACGTGCCCATACCCAAATGGACACATTGATCCAAATTGACCAATCCGCGGACTTCCTCACACACACAATCTTTTCTCAGCTGCAGCTCCGCCGATTTCTCCTCCCTGAGACGGCGGGACGCGGCGAGGCTGTGAGACGGTGTGTGAGCAAACACACAAACTCCCAGCCAGGCTGCGGGTGTGTGTGTGTGTTCGGGCTGGGTTCGGCTGTGTCTCGCTGTTTCGCTGTCTCGCAGACGGCCACTGGGCTCATAGGGAGGGGGGGGGCAGGAGCTCCAACAAGCCGTTTAGGACAGAGAGTGAATACACATACTATACAGAGATGCTGTATGAGAAACCAATGTGAGTTTGGAAAATTGCACAATATAAATCTATTTTAGTAGACCTCAACAATGGAATTATGATCAGTAGAAATGGCCATGACATGGGACCTTTAAGTTGCAAAAACATCCAGTGTTTCCACCGTCGACGCAAAACCAAATATTCCAAACAAAAATCTTGAAATAAAAAATGGTAGTTACTGGGTGTAAAATATATGCAGTTCTTGAGAACTGCAAGGAGAGGAATGGTAAGAAGACGGCGGCATTGTGTCAGGCTAATGGTTAATGGACTGCTTTTAAATAGCACTTTTCAGTCCTTAAGACCCCTCAGAGTGCTTTTAAATATACAAGTCCAAGTGTTCTATTGATAAATCACTTTGAGCTGCCTCCTGTGCATGAGAAGTGCTTTAAAAATAAAGCTTTATTATTATTATTACAATTGAGCACTCACTGATTCACACGTTTATCCAGAGGCTGCCGTACAAGGTGCTCAGAGAAGCTGACATTCACACACCATCGGCCATCAATATGTCGTCTGCAGGGACCACCTGCTGATTGGTGGACGACCACTCTTCATCACAGCCATTACCCAGTCCTATCGTATATTAATAGAGCTTGTTAAACTCATCCAAATAACCCAAAGACTCTGGTTTACGAGCATATATGACAAAAACAAACTGAATGAAATCAGGCAATTTGTTCTACTTTTCTTTTTAAACCAAATACAACAGAACTTATCAGTCAACCAGTTAGAATAGTTGCTTGTTGTTTGTGTGCGAGCCTAACACAGAGAAGGAATGCTATCCATTAAAAGTGTTCCAATTTACAAAAATGGGTTTCATTTAACTTTCGGAACAACTAAAACAAAGCTTCCTAGCGGTGTCATATTGTGTGTGTGCCCTGTAGTTATCTCCTTCCTTTTGAGGCTCAATAAGATACAAAATAAAGCCGGAGCAGAGCCCTTTAAGTGAAATATTTGTTCTCCGGAGAGAAGAAGTAGGTCATTTGTTGGGGGTGACAGCTTTACAGCCCCCTTGCTTTTCAATGCTTGCTTCACTCCATCAGTGTCCACTTCGAGAGCTCTTCCAGCACGGCCTCTTCTGAATCTTTACCATTCTATCCTTTCCTCATTTATAATTCTCTCTCTAGTTCCACAAGTATCTGTCCAGTGTGGATGTCTTACCTGGGTTTGCGGCCCCTCTGTTTTGGCGCTGAGGGGACGGGGGTCTTGCTGTTGGCCTGTCTGTGGTTCTTGTCATGGTGGACCTGCCCCTTGATGTGGACAGCTGGTGTAGGAGGAGGTGCTGTGGTTGGAGAGGGTAGTTAAAAACAAGAGAGGACATGGAGATAAGTAAGAGAAAGCAAGAGCATTTTACAGGATTGGTGAAAATGTCAATGTATCTTTAGCCATTTTTGACTTGAACATCATTTTGACCATTATTTTTCTATCCGAAGATTTTATTGATAGGAAAACCTGCCTTTCATTCAGTATATTCAGACAGAGGCCTATACACCAACACTGAAACACATGAGCACATACTAAAGTTTAAAAAAGCAGAAATCAAATCTGAGCTGACAGAAAAATGCTCCGTTTTATTTTAATAGACACAGTTAAGCTCACACACACAATTTGATGAGCATATAGGTTCACCTACTGAGTTAAATACAGAAAAATTAACCAAAGAAAGTGAAAACCATAAAGCAGATTCAGGCAGTAGGCGTATAGATTATTATATAGAGTATTAGCCTACAGAACAGTACAGCTTTCAGAGAAGAGATAACATCTGATCCTTTATCATATTAAAATATGTCACTGGATAAGAGAAACTTTGACCTGCTGGGGGCACTAGATGGAACAGTCAGGGATAATCAAAGCGATTAATTCTGGCATCCAGCAGACAAACAGCTGATTCAGCATTACTCTGACATTATTGTTCCTGAAGCTAACAGATGGTAGGTGGCTAATACTGGTAGCAGTTGTTGAGTTTAGTTGCTTAAGAGACAGGGATTAGAATATTCGAATATACATTTGCTTTCAAATTCCCATCTCTAAATTTCCACACAGGCCAACATCCGGGTTAGCAGTGACCATTGTTTGGTTAGAGATCATTTGACAGTGTGTAGAAAATTGTACATTTCAGGTCTCCCTTGAAAAAGAGATCAATGATCTCAATGGGATACACCTGGATAAATGAAAATGTCTAGGTTAAATCCAAAGAACACTTCTCTGTAGGGATTTTATTTTAGATCTCTCTCTGTGTCTCACTAAGATGCAGAACCAGCGTTTGAAAAAAACTGCTTTCGTGTTTTTGAGATATTAAAAAATATTGGAGAGTCTGTCAAATATATAGAAATATTGGAACATTTTAGTTGCTATGCAAACCTGATCATCCTTTCGTATCATATTAAAGGACACTTTGACATTGTCCTTTGCATCCTTATTGGCATTCATTAAAGCCTTTAGCTGGTGTAATAACACATACTGTTCGAAATTATCGCTCCTCGCTCCTCCGGCAGAAATAAGAGCCATGGGACGCTACTCAAGGTGGCACAGACAAATCAACTTCCGGTGATATCGAGGACCGAGGAAATGAAAATAGTTGACCTGAGACGCAGCCATAGAGAGACACATCTGAGGTACCATCAAAAGTCTGTCTGGATCAAAGGAAAGGTTTTAAATGCAGCTAAGGCTTATGTTTGTGTTTATTAAGGATCCCCATTAGCTTTTGCTCTTGACAATAGCTACTCTTCCTGGGGTCCGACACTTAAAACAATACAACAATAATAAAACAATACAACAACATTCAAGACATAATTCCTGACATCATTAACAACTTCACCAATATCATTAACAATTTCCAACGTCATCAACAATGTCATCCACTTTCAATATCAATCTCAGCCAAGGATGAGTGGAAAAAATGCCCACCAGTACAAAGCATGAGATCAAATTAAATTAGGGTTCACAGCTCACAAGGGTACATGGTCATTAGTAGATGGCCCTTCAATCTCTTCTTGAAAGAGGCTCTGGACTCTATTTCAACAAGGTAGTTTGGCAATGAGTTCCATTCCTTTATAGCTCTATAAGTCACAGAAGATTTCAGAAGATTTGTCCTGGGTTTAGGTGCCAGTAGATGGCCTGATGTAGCTTGTCCAGTCTTATGGTCATGCTCGTCTCTTGTGTAAACTATTTGATCATAAAAATACAGTGGTCTTTTGCTAAATTGGAGAAAAAAAATTAAAAGTGATAACACGAGATTGCAGACGTTTCTCAACCGGAAGCCATGATAGGTTTCTATCATAGACTGTATATATAAATAAATCTAATATAAATCTATGCATAACTCCAATATGAGTGCGCTTCGAACAGTGGAGATCTAGTCTGGCAGCCTTGTTTTGAGCTATTTGTCATTTCTGTATATGTGTTTTTGCTGCTGATGACCATATGACCGGACAGTACTCAAGATGTGACAAAACCAGAGACTGAATGACTTGTTTCAAAGTGGTTGGTGTTACATACTTACTGTAGTACATTTTCTCGTCACAGCTATGCTCCTTCCCATTTTAGTTACGATACTGTCATTAGCTTTGTCCTCTGTAAACCAGAATCAAGAACAATGCCAAGCAACTTAGTCTTGTTTACCTGTTCCACTGTTCCACAAGGCTCAACCTGGTTTAAGGGAATTTAAGGCGACAACAAATATTGTGACAGTCACATTGTTGATTTAATCTTGTGCAGTTAAAGATAATTTCATATTGTTACAACTATGTCGTTCACATTTAGTATTAATCCTTATATTTCAACTGCTTTTTACACAAGCCTTGACTATAAATAAATAAAATGGGTAAAGGGTGTGAAAAACCCTCTAACATCCAGGAGTTCATAACAGATCTATACCCTTTATTACAGGAATGATAATTATGATAATCTTTGTCATATGAAGTCTTTTTTATTTTATAAATGGAGCGTTGCTTCTCTTTGAAATGAATAATTGCTGTCATAATTATCAAATCTTATATAATTTGTATTTTTTTCTTTCATCATGTCTAGCAGGGCTCGACATTATAAATGGCCCGGAAGAACTATTTAGACACCCCGGGCCATCATAACGTACTTTCCACTTGCCCGCTCGGGCCACTAAAAATATTGGTTTAAAAAAAAAAAATGGTCCTGTGGTATTGGTATTTTGACTAGCAATTTAGTTAAATTGTTTCGTTTATTAACGCTACAACATAGCGTTTCGTGAGGCGGTTGTCGTTGTTGGGTGAAAAGCAAACAGCTGTTTGCTGCGCAGCGCGAGCAGGCTCCCGTGAGCGGGAGCGCGCTCCTTCACTACAGACTATCGCGCCACCTAACCATTCACCTAAATGTTTATAATACCAGCGGTAACCGGCCAAGCGCCGTGCAAAAAACAATCTTCAAATAAAAGAAAGTCACCGGAGGAGTTAAAGGAGAGTGACAGGGAGCATGAGAAGAAGAGGTGCAGTGACGCGTCCTAAAACCCTTTTATAATCAATCGATTAGATTTATGATTAGAACATTATAAAAGTAGGGTAGACATGTGGATATTATCCGGCTGAACAAAACGTGCATTTATCAAACAGGTTTGTTTTCCACAGACCTTATTTCCAGCTATTTTCCAAAACCCTGTGGAGAAATCCCATTGCTTTTTGTCGAGGGAACCAGCGGCTTACTTCCTGGTTTTAGGACGCGTTACTGCACCTCTCTATAGAGAACCGCAGTGACGCGTCATAAAACCCGGAAGTAAACTTCTTCCGGTTCCTTTGTCAAAAACCAATGCAATTTCTCCATAGGAATTTGGAAAATAGCTCTAAATAAGTTCTGTGGTTGACACACATTTAAGAGAGGGATCATGTTTTGTTCAGCCGGATAATCTCCACATGTCAACCCTACTTTTATCTTTTTTGAATCATAAATCTAGTCGCCAAAAGCGAAATGCTAACGTTATGCTATAAACGAACTACAAGCCAGTACAGCAGCAGGGTCGCATGACTTCAACGTCACGCCAACTTAAGATCGTTTCAACTGACTTGCACTGAAACTGCACTTTGAACACTTAAAATATATTAACATTTTAAACTGTATACCCCGGTTATTTAGGCCCTTTTTGTTTTGTTTCATGTATACCACGTTTATCTAGGCCCTTTTTGTTTTATGTTTACATGTCACACTGTGGGAAACGATATTTCGATATTTCTGGATGTATAACACATGTAGAATTTTTGACAATAAAGCTGAATTTGACTTTCGCATGCTTGCATATTTTAACAAAGCTTTTCATTTTAGCCACACTGAATTTAACTAGAAGTCATGGCTGTGTCAATTACNCGTCCTAAAACCCTTTTATAATCTATCGATTAGATTTATGATTTGAAAATTATAAAAGTAGGGTAGACATGTGGAGATTATCCGGCTGAACAAAACGTGCATTTATCAAACAGGTTTGTTTTCCACAGACCTTATTTCCAGCTATTTTCCAAAACCCTTTGGAGAAATCCCATTGCTTTTTGTCGAGGAAACCAGCAGTTTATACTTCTTGGTTTTAGGACACGTCACTGCACCTCTCAATATGATGCCAATATAAACAAGGTCTTCTGTCGGCTCTGTAAATCAATGCCGACCTATGCTGACAAGTAAGTGAAGAGTAGAAAATATAAAGGTATTGGCTATAGGGAAATGTCCCAGCAGTTTAGGAGAATGAAGGTTCTAATCTAATCTATTACATAGCCATTACATTTCTAACTCCTAATGACAGGAAGGCAGAAAGCGCATTATATAAATAATAATACTCATAATAATAGCAGACATTTTTTAACAATGACCACAATATCATTATTTTAATAAACCAAATATGAACAATTGAGGAAATGAGGAAGAACTGATGATTCAAATGTTGTAGTACAAGTAGTAATGTAGTTAGTGCATAAATTACTATTGCAGCAAATGTGTTAATTTTCTTCATTATTAGTCGATTTTCTTTGGACGAATGCTCCGGGCCAATGGTTACAATGGTGGGGGCAGTGATAATACAATTCCACCGGCCCGGACCCTTAATGTCTACCCCTGTCTAGGTATGTTTGTTGTGAATATTTTGTTTTGTAAATACTTTTGGTATCTAACAATTATAATACGAAATTATTTAATAAAAAGAAGTTACCGTAATTTAAATAAAAAATAAATGACAAACAAAAATGATTACACACACACACACACACACACACACACACACACACACACACACACACACACACACACACACACACACACACACACACACACACACAGTCAGTCAGTCTTACCTTGACTTGGTGGTACAGGAGGTATGATTTTGACCTTGGGTTTCCTCCCTCTCTTGCCGGGCACCTTAACAGGTACAGGCACTGGGACCACCGTGGTCCTCCCCCCCGCCACAGCCTTCAGCTCCGTCCTCCCCTCCTTCCCCTTGGTCCTTCGCTCCTTTCTCTCCTTTCCTTCCTTGGGCTCCTTGCTCTTCCTCAGAGTGACCACCGTGGTCAACCTCTCCTCCCTCCGTTTCTTTGGTTTGGTGCTTTCCCTTTCCTCCGCCTCCCCTCTTTCTTTCTCCCGTTCTCTCTTGTCCTTTTTCTTTCGCTTCTTCTTCACCCTGCCTCCTCCCCCTCCATCGTCCTCCTCGCTCAGGGATGAAGGGGGTCGTGGGACTCCTCCCGAGTGTTTGGCGGCATGGGCCCCGGCCACCGCGCAGTGATTGGACGTCGCCGTGCTGCCCACGGGGGTGAGGAGGCGGAGCTGGTCTTTGGGGCCCACAACCAGGTGGCCCCGTGGGATTGTGGGAACTGTGTTTTGTGCGTTACTCTTTTGGTCCGAGGCGGAGGAGCAGGCTGCAGCGGAGGCCGGAGGTGGAGTGTGCTTCAGAACACCAGTTAACATCTGAAACACAAACATGTGGAATAAATTATGTTCACCATTATTATGCTGTTATGCTGTATGCTACAAGATCTACTCAAACATTTTTTCCTAACTGATGTTCAGCTACTGTCAAAACATTTTATTTTGACTCTATTGTACATGATATCTGTCCGTACTGACCCTTATTAAAATACCAACTTTTATTTGAGATCAACTGTTCAATAATTTAAACTTTTTTTCTTTCAATTTTTACATATCTCAAAAGATATGTGCTTATTGGGGTTTTCCCTTTCCTGTATTGTGTTATATAGGTTTTAGTGCATGTAAATGGTCAGCAAAGGCTAAAATCCCTGTGTCCAGAGGGAGTTTCCCTCCCACACACTCCCCTCGCTGCCTGAAACGCCTCCATTGGACTCCTCTGATTTTGATGAGGTTGCCACTTTTTCGCATCACAAGTACAACGCAATGGAAGGATAAATGTATGTTATACCGTTATGCCTATCAGCAGTGTCTGGGGTGTAGTGAGAATTGAAATAAATAAAAATGTCTCTCAAGATGCCTTTTCTCACAAATGCATGGCTTTTTAAATTGGGGCAGGTATTACATTTTTTTCTTAACATTCCTGCAACCACCTTATTAAAATGTACGACTAACCCAATCATTTCCAAGGTTTTCCTCTGATTATTCCCTTAGCTCTGTATTTTTGAATTTATTTTGTACATACAACAGACCTAATACATCACAGGAGAATGAATATAAATTGTGAAAATAAGAAAAAAAGGAAGGGGATGGAATCTTTTTTAAAATTGAATGAATCACGGACACCATACAATGCAACACGGTGAAGAAGTACACTCACTATAATCACGTGTGTTGTTTGATGTGCAAATCACGCTGTGACTGAAATCTTACTATGCACAATGTGCTTTCATCAACTTCAGGATGTAACAGCTTTTCCACACAGCTGAGTCAGAAATAGAACCTGAGTATAATACTATTTATTGATCTGTTATTTCTCAACAGAAATACAAATAAAAGTTCCAGAGCTTCAAGGTTGGAGACCTACTTTTGTGTTTGTTCTGGCAGGTGATTCTCCTCTACTCTGCTGGGATGTAACTAAGTACATTTACCGGTACTCAGTGTCATTTGAGGTACTTAACTTGAGTAGTTCCATTATCTACTCCACTTTTACTAAACTACATCTCAGAGGGATATAGTGTACGTTTTTAACCCTCAACATTACTTTGACACTTTTAGTTACTTTTCAGATTGATGTGTTCATATGACAAATGCACTACTTCCACAATTCTACTTGGTAGTACACATTTCAGAGGTTGTTCATTTCTGGTCAATTTAATGTCAGCTGTGGGCAAAAAACGTTTGTTTTCTCCATCATGGAATACGTTTTGAATATAAATAAAAAACAGTGTAAGAGAAGGAAAGAGGTTAAAAGACAGAGGGCTGGACATCAGAGAAACCAACAGAAAAAAGCAGACAGGAAGTAAACTTTTGAGGGGACAGCAGAAGAAGACAGACGGGAAGTAAACACGGAAGGGAACACAGTAAGGGCCTTTAATAACTTGTTAATGGAAAATAAAGATTTGAACAGTTAAACAAAACCTCGAACACTGCTGCCGTCATTTTAAGTTACATTGCCTTTGCCACAGTTCCAGCCGTTGGTACGCAGAGGAACGGACAATTTTTTCTTAGCAGAAGCAATACAATTATTTAAAAATCAATATTATGTGTCAAGTCGTTGATTTATTTAGTAGGGAGCCAAATAGTAAGCAGGATAATGAGCAGCGGGATCCTGATCACCTTGTTGGTGTTCTCTTTCATTAATGACCGCCTCGCTGCACACTATACCCTACATATTTGTTACTGAAAAATAAGAAAAATATAATATTCTATAATTATAAGACACTCGTACATGAGGCATTCAGGACGATAACTTAGTAACACTTTAACTCAAGACTTTACCTTTAAGTGGAGTATTTTAGACTGTGGTATGACTACTTTAAGTTATGTAAAGGAGGAGAGTACTTTTATAGCACTGCAGTGCAGCCAGTGAGACAGAATAGAGCGTGCTGCTACCATGTGACTGCGCTCAGAGTGTTTAACATGAATCCAGTAAAAGGAGAGGCCCCAAGCAGATGTGTGAAGTCCTCAGGGGAGTTAAGAATAGATGTTACTACCCCTGCTGACTATGCTGGGCTTCTACTCACAAAAAGTGAAACATGAAACCTATCACTTCCTGTAAAACAGAGTCCTTTTTTCCAGAGCGCTTAGAATAGTAAATGTTGTCAAAGACTTTAGAGGTAATGGACAAGATGAACGTCAACTATGACCACTTTTAACACATCAGAGTTAGTAACGATGACTGAAGCATCTTACACTAGAGCTGAGCATTACTCTTCCCATGAGCAGATACTGCAATATGTAAAAAAAAAAAAAAAAGTCAACTCTTTCAAATGAATAGTGGTCGCATCCTGTAGTATGTGGTCGTCACGGGTAAAAGCCAATGAACCATGAGTGTATATATTAATAATATAATATATAATAATATATTTCAACTATACAGAAAACACTGGTGATGTCACAGAAGAAATGGAGATTCTTGTTATTGGCTGCGTACTTAAGACGATATCTATCATAACCAAGACAGAAAAGCTCATTGGAGCCGATCGGCTGGCGGACCCTGAATGTTGCTGCCAGCGAGTGTAAATAATGTATCTCCATACGCAGATCATCCTCCTCACTATACGGCTCTCAGATTGAGAAGTGACAAGCTCATTCGGACAAAGTTTGAGAGCATGAATCGTCCTTTCATTAAAATAACATTTTATGAAACTCTGGGAGCAGGCTCAGCCCAGATCACTTATCTGGACCGATCTTATCTGGAAACCTTAAGCTGCATTCACATGACAAGTTGCAAAAAGGCTCTGTGCTGACCTTGCTGTTGAGTATTTACTGAATGGAAAGAGCTGTGTTGTCGAACAAGGCAAAAGAGCTACCTAGGTTTCTGCTGAACGAATTCAGATAACAGCTGTATGTAGTGGCAAGCTAGCAGGGGAGATAATCAAAGAAAGGAAACGTTACTAGCTATTTTCATCACAAGGCCCTGCGCCCAACGTCGAGATGAGCAAAGAGAAAATCGCGTAACATGTGAAGACAGCTTTACTCTTATGTCAAGTTGTTAAACTGTAGTTCTTCGTTTTATCCTTAATGTCTTTAGCACTTTAACACCAATACAACTGCAATATTTTTGCTTGCATGGATATAAAAGCTTTAAAAAGATGTTGGGCCACAAAGACATAATGTTAATTCTAAGAAGTCAAACTACTGTATATTCTGGGCAGTGTGTGATATCACTGTTTACACCATGCACCACCATGTAGTATGCCGCCCTTGAGCAGCACAGTGTTCTTCTCCTTTGCTACAAATGCTTAAATGCTTGCTCTACTACAGCTTCCCAGCTTCATCATCCATATGATGGATTTCCACCATGACTACGCCTGTATTATCGGCCGAAAGGGCCTTTTTAAGGGCGACAAGCACGGCGCGCGAACATGCTCGCAGCTGGCTCACAGCCAACATGTCTGGCGCTTGGAGATATTTAAAAATATCAGAGAAAGAGGCGCGGATTGCGATTTGTAAAACGTGTTCAGCTGACATTTCTCGAGGGGGTGTAACTGCAAAGACTTTCACCACTTCGGGATTACTCCACCACTTGAAATCAAAACACCCGGACAAATATGCGGAGTAAGATCAAATCACAAGCACTGACAGCGAGAGACTGTTCAGCGCTGCCTCTCATGTGCTTGATGAGAAGAGGAACAGACTTATGGCTGATAAAGCAGAGAAGCTACTGTTCATTCAAAATAACCTCCCACTTTTCCTTAATAAGTAGACAAGGCTGGCTTATCATAAGCTTATCTAGTTCTACATGTCTTCTAGTTCTACATGTCTACTCTATACCCACTTTCCTGAACAATGTTCATTGTGAATTATAATTCACCATCTCAGGTTATCATTAGGTGGAAATGTCAGCAGCACAGTGTTCAATATATTGTACTTTCGGTATCTAAATGATACAATGTTGTTTACATTGCTCATGAGGACAGACCTATGGGACAGACCACCTTATTTGCAGATTCTTGAAATTGTAATTTAATTTGTAATTGATTGTGGATTTTGTATCCAGTTTTCACTTTATGTATCTTTATACAATGTTTACTACTTTGCTTATGAGGACAGACAGCCTTATTTACAGATTCTTGAAATTCAATTGTAATTCTATTTGTAAATAGTTACATTCATGTGGATTTATCCAGTTTGCACATTTGTATGCATGCACTTATAGGTGCATTTGTTGTTGTTGAAGGCCTGGCTGTTACAGTCTTTATTTACACTATTTTGTTGTAGGCCTACTGGCCTAGATGTTTATGCAGTTTTAAAGCACCTTGGCTTTGTTCTGAATGTACTTTGTTGTAGTTATCCTACAGAGAAAAGAAAATGCACTTGACTTGGAATTAATGTACTGTATGCATTCAAAAGTGCTGAATAAATGTTTTATGGACCCATAATAGTGATTATTATTTAAGTTAAGTTTTGCCATAATCATGTCTTTTTCCATAATCAGGTAGCTGAACAACATTGGTAAAAAATGTATACATTATATATATATATATTTCTATTAATCATTTTCGGCCTTTCGGCATTCGGTTTTCGGCCAACTGTTTCCTATTTTCGATATTGGTTTCGGCCAATAATTTCCCATTAGGTGCACCCCTAATTATAATAAGTCTCTGGTGCCTGCATAAATACTTGCAACCATAAATATGAATGTCTGGTAGATGGACCTCAAGGTCAGCGTAACACGTGGGCAAATTGCACAATCTATTTAAATCAAAATTGCAGAAAAGGTTCAATAAGCATTGGCGTCTTTATGTCACGTAGACCAAATCTGAGATTTCCATTGAGGTAGTGTTGTGAATTCTGTATTCTCTCTCTGTAGTGTGTGTTGACTGAGGTAC